GGCCGAGGGAATGGGAGAGGAAGAAGAAATGGGGTTACCAACGTCGACTGGGTATACGTCTCCATCATGGTAGGAGTTCATGTGCCCATCTGGGAGCAGGCCATTGGGAAAGAGGGAAAGGAGGACGAATTCGGGAAGGGTTAGAAGTTCGTCTCGCGATAGAGTGAATCGCGTGCCCCTAGGATGCAAATTAGTTTTGGTGTCGCGTGTGACGGAGCATTTCCGTACCTCAGTTCCAGAGTGATGTTCTCGTCTGATCCACCGAGCGTGTTGATGGGCGGTCCTGCATTTGTTGTTTGCGACACCTGAGTAATGATACTCGCGGGACCTCCTGCGGATGCCATTACGTACGTAAAGGACTCGAGTGGGCTGGATCCTTCGCTGTAGGGTGGCGGCGGCTCTCCGTCGTCGAGGTCTTTGCTACTAGAGCCTTCCTTGGTATCGGAAGGGAGCGCGGCTTTGGTGGCAGCTACGGCAGCTGCAGACGAGGATGACTCGGTAAAGGCAGGCGCGGATGTAAATGCAGGAGGTGATTCGTCTTCAGCGGTTTCACCGAGCTTGTCGCGTTCCTCAGCGTCGTCGGGCGGGAAGAAGAGGGAGGAGAAGGGAGGTGGGTAGGGTGATTCGCCGGCTGTTGTCGTCAATGCGGCGGTGCTGCTGGCGGGAGCGGTGACGGCGTAGGGTGGACGGGAGGAATCGCGCTGGGTGGGATTCGGAGGCAAAGGAGTGACTACGGACAAGCCGTCTGTACTGGAGTTCTGCGTGCGCGACAAGGTGCCGGTGGTTGTGTATTGGACAGGACCGGATGATGAGCTCGAAGGGGCAAGCGCGCTAGTAGCCGCTGTCAATTAAACCTGAGCGCGTGGGCACCACGAGGCAGCTACGCGCATTAGGTGGAGCAGCGGTCGAGGTGAAAGGGACGCAAATGTTTGCTTGCTGTGCTGGGCGGGAGGTGTTGTGCGTGTGATGAGGTGCCAGTGCCGCGATGGACGCGGAGTGGTTAATCAGTCCAGGCGTCCGCTTTGACCCTAGCGTGCTTTCCAACTTTCGAGCAGAAGAGCAGGCACAACCTCGGAATGCTATGTGATATCCTTCGCATCACGTAGCTGCGACATACATGTAGGTAGTTCTTGTTAGAACCATAGTGAGTATATTATACGGATCTAGCTTTGTCAGAATACGGGATAGTATATCATCACTATCACCTATTCTATATCCTAACCGAATCTAGTGCTTCGCTACAACTCCCGCCTCGTTCGCTTGCGCTGTGATGCGGCGCTTGTAATCTTTGACGGTTCCATCGAAGTGCTCGATCGTTCCGTTGTCACACACCCACAAGCTTGTGCATACGTTCTGCAGCATAGTGACATCGTGACTGACCATCAGCACACCACCCTGGAACTTGTTCAGTGCTTCCGAAAGCGCGTCCATGGCCTCGATATCCAAGTGGTTAGACGGTTCGTCAAGCACGAGAATGTGCGGGTTCTGCAGCGCTAGGCACGCAAAGGCAACACGCGATTTCTGACCTCCTGACAGCAATTCCATCTTCTGTAAACCAGTCATACCCGTAATGCCAAAGGCACCGAGGTGACGACGGTACTCTTCATCCGCCCTTCCGTGGTACGTCTTCGACATGAATCCGACGGCACTGTCGTTCAGGTCCAAAGCATCGACGTGATGTTGTGCGAAGAAGCCTACACGTAAGCGTGGGTTTTGCGAGATGAGACCAGTGGTAGGTTGAAGTGCGCCGATGAGTAGCTTCAAAGCCGTCGTCTTACCAGCACCGTTGGGACCAACGATACCAATACGTGAATCGAGTTGCACATCGAGGTCGACGTTCTTGAGCAGGATCTTGTCGGGGGTGTAGCCAAAGGTAACACCACTCATCTGAATGATAGGAGGTGACATCTTCTCCACCTCTGGGAACTTGAAGTGCACCGAGTATGCTGCCTCTGGTGGAGTGAGGACTGGCATCTTCTCCAGCTTCTTGATCCTAGACTGGGCCTCAGAGGACTTGGCAGCATTGTATCGGAACTTGTCGATGAAAGCTTGCAAATGCGCGCGCTCGGCCATCTGCTTTTCATACTCACGCACTGCTGTCTTGCGGCGCTCTTCTTTGGTGGCGTAGAAGGAGTCGAAGTTGCCACCCTTGTAGTAGTCGAGTCGCTCAGAGTGTTGATGGATGATGTCGGTGGCCACTTCGTTGAGGAATGCTCGGTCGTGAGATACGACAAGTACTGTGCTTGGGTAGCCCTGGAGGTAGTTCGCCAAGAATGTAATAGAGGGGACGTCCAACATGTTCGACGGCTCGTCAAGCAGTAGCAGATCAGGTTCACAGAACAGCGCACGTGCAAGAGCCAGACGCATCCTCCATCCTCCAGAGAATGTTTTGGTCGCGAATTGCTGTCGTTCTTGTGAGAAACCAAGACCTGCGAGGATACTTGCTGCTCGAGATTCTGCCTTGTCAGACTCCATCTCGGCGAGCTTGCCATGAATGTCGCTCAGAGTGGTATCTAGACCTTCACGCTGAGTGTCTAGCCTGGCAGCATCTGCGGAGGTGTCGGCCATCTTAGCACGCTCCTCTTCAAGCTCAGCTAGCTCCTTGCTAATCTTCTCTTGCTCCCGAAGGAGATGCTTGCGCCATACATCGGCGTCCAAGACAGCCTGCAGTGCGGGTGTGTCATCACCAGTAATCTGATGCAGTCAGTCATTGGACTTGCATAGTGCATGAAGTGACTTACCTCCTGTTCCACGTGAAGAATCGAAATGTGCGTAGGAATAGCGACCTCACGACGGGCGAGGGCGCGAAGCAATGTGGATTTACCAATACCGTTTTGACCTACCAGACCGTATCTGCGGCCATATGCGAGTGTCAAGGAACTATCTGTAAGGATGCGTAATCCAGGCATAGAAATGTCAAAGCTATCGATCTTGATGTCTTTGCTCTTGTTGTTGGCCTCGCCCAGCTGCAGCGGGTTGACAGCCATGTAGAATTCTTCATAGCTTTGTGCCTCGTTGGGCTCATTGAGAAGTCGAGAAGCTTCATATTCGACATTCTTGAATTCTTTGCGGTCCTGCTTCGCACGGAGCTTGCGTTCGGCCTTTTCAAGTTTCTTGCGATCGACCCTGGATTCAACTTTACGTGTGTTGGCAGATTCTAAGTCGACGGCGCCGCCAGCAAGACCTAGCGTGGAGGAGATGTTCCTGGACGAGCCCACGTGGATAGCCTGGTCGAGCTTCTTGGCTGATGGAGCCATCTGGCGCCGCTCACTGTCTGTGCCATTGGCGGCGTTCAGGCGGGAAATGAATTTTTCCACAAGGTTCTGGATACTCGTCTCATTCTGAGGTGAGAGATCTCCGGACGCTGATAAGAGCAGCGCGCTCACGGTGGCAGCGGCCTCCTCAAGTGGGGAGGGGGCATTTGGGTCAGTGTCGGAAGTGAACTGGTTGGCAGCATGGGTCAGGTACCCGGCCGAGTACTCTGACAGGACAGGGTCGATGTTCGGGATTTGGGTTCTGATTTCGGATTCCATGGTGGCGGGTGACGAAGTCGATGTCGGCCGCAGTCAATGTCACCGTGGCGCTGGCGAGGTCGGCGAGCGGGCAGTCCTATCTCGTGCGTTCACGTAGTCAGCGTGTAATAGCGGGGCAGTGGTGGTCTCTGCTTCTTGCGGTGCTACGGCTGCTTGTCCAAGGCAGAGAACATTTTGACGTGGGATGCCAAATGTGGCGTGGCGGCGGTTCTGGAAGGAGCGGGCGGCGGCCAATCAGGGCGTCGACGCCGACAGCCCATCAAACATGACAACCCATTGCTGCGCCTGTGGACTGGCACAGATGGCGGATCTGCACCACGCGTCTGGAGGCGCTCTAGCAATGATGTGCTCCTAGGATTGTCCCGGTTGCTCGCATCTCTGTGTTCCCGCGGGTCAGCACGCATCGCACAGTCACGTCAAGCTCTGCACGCACAGCTCGCCCAGCAAGCCGTCTGCCAGATGGACTCCAACGTGCGCCCACTATTCCTAGAGTGAGGGGCACAACGGTCTCGATAGTCTGCAAAAAGCCTCTGGAGTTCGTAGCGGCCCTGGCAGTCATCTTTCAGCTGCCTTAGGTCGGGCACGGAGCCGCCTTGGCTACGGCATGCAACATGTGATGTAGCCTTGTCAATTGGCTTTTGAAAATTTACGGACAGAACAACGCATGCCTAGGAGTACAGCCATGGCAGGTAGAACTCGCAGCATGCGGGCTTTAACGGCGGAGATATATCCCGGGGCGCTGAATTCGCTGCCTCAGACACACGGATTCCGTCCTATCCTCAACCCATGCTCCCGCTTCTCACCACTTCTCCGCTCTGTGGCTGACGTGCTGTGCGTTTCGGCTATCAAGGATCTCAATCACGAGCAGCTTTCCTACCAGAGTAATCGATGCCCGATGGAGCCGATTCAACAAATATCTGCCACGCCATGCTCGTAGGTACCAAGGTCCTTCTGCCGTTGACTGTACCGAAAGCTGGGCGCGAGGTAACATGCGATGGCTCCGTGGCTGCACAGTCTAAAGCACGCCTTCGCTACCACCGATGGACTACATAAGCCGGTTGACACTTGCGTACGCCGCGATCAGCAAACATCTCCACTTGGCTACAGGGGTCTCTCCGAGCAGTTCAGCGGCCGGCTGCCAATCACCGTGTGCTGTGACGGGCGCCCGGGATGCTATCTGGTACACTATATTTGGGTAGCTCTGACGGCAGAGGGGTTCTTCCAGCCTCTCTGCGCCATGTCCCTGATTGTTGTTGATTGTTACTCGGCGCTAGAGCTCGCCCGAGACAGATGGGCGCAACGTCGTGGTACGGCCAACTGGGCACCGCAGCGGGCCCTCAGTGCCTGCCCAAGGAGTTGCTGCCTCGGGCTCGTCGCATGCAGCATTGGCTGATGAGATTGACTTTACTCGCAGCGTGGAGCTATGACGGAGCAAAGTGAGGCATGGGGTCTGTGTACCTCCGTGTTATGTTTCGAGTCGAGCTGCCGCTATCAGCCCTCATCGGCGACATCTCGCTAATCCCAAGAGAGCTGGGTAGCCCTGTACGTAGATCCCAGAAGCAACAAGCAGTGGATTCTTCAGTCGTCCGCTCGCTCCTCGTCGAGCTCCACCTCTCTGCTTCAGCCCGTCGCGGTGCTTGTGCCGTCCATCCTTTGCTACGCTCCGGAATGCAGTACGCCTGCCCCAGCGCCTGATTGAGCCCCTCTCCTCCCACCGTCTATACTCGTGCAGCTCGCGATCCCTGGTTCACCGGCACCCTGACATGCCATAATGCTCGACAAGTCGTCACAAGCGCCTCGACGAGTGACCTTTCCCCGGCGGCTTGGTTTCCAACGAGAATGAAAACTGTTCCAACGGTAATTACCCTGCATTTCTCTATCTCATAGTCCGTGGATCTTGTGTACGCGCTGCAGCTGCCCTTGATTTGTTTTGATATGTCTCGATCGACGACGCCGCGTCTGCGTCTACTTCCGAGAGCGGCTGCACCAAGACTGTCTCACCTCGATATACCTCTCTTATAAGATGTCGTACTAGGCGCCATGACTGACGGACCCTTGTGATACAGCTCTGTGCCACTGCCGCTGTCGTTGGTACATCCTCTGTCGGCCTGGCCTTTGGACGGGAGGCCCCCTTCGACCCGTCGCACCCCAATAGAAAAAAGGCCACACCAGCATACGAGCCGAGTCTTGATCCCATGTCGACCGCTGCCATGACCACGACCGCGCCTCCCTTTAGCGGTCCCGTACCCGTCGTTCCTGCCTCGCGCATGCCGTTTGCGACTCGACTCAGTCAGGATGGCCGTTCACAGCTGCGGATCGTGAGGAGGAAGACGAGCGACGACGCGGCGCTGCAATTGCCGACGAGTGCGACGAGTGCAAACTACCCCTCCAGTGACCAGAGCGTGTCCGACGTAGACATGGCCAGATACGTGCCGTCACGGCGAGCCTCGTGGATCAAACGCCTCTCCTCCATATCCAACTCGTCGAGCAGGAACACCAGCCCGTCGCCGCTGTCGCCCGCCGTGTCGTGCTCCAATGGCTCCATGGCCTTTTCTCACGAAGGCTCGACGGCGCCCATAGCCGGCAATCGGTCCTCTTCACCTGTCACACGGAACAAGCTGGTGAAGCGCTCCTCGTCAGTGCGCGGGCCGCGTGAAGAGCCCAGAACGAGCACCTCGACCCTGCGACCGTCGTTCCGTCGTCCGGCCACCAGTCACCAGCGCAACGCAACGCTGCAGAACTACGGCGCGCGGCTGTCCATGACGGCCGAGCACACTTCCATGGACGAGCACCCGCATTCCGCAAGCACCGACAGCGAGGCCGAATACACCCAATTCTTCACAGCGAGGATCATGAAGGAGCGGTCACTGACGAGGCGGAGAGGCTCCGTGGCATATGCGAACGGGTTCAAGAGGATATTCCCGGACGACAAGCACAAGCCCATGCTCGTGCTCGCGAGGTCGGTCGTAGCAGGTGCAGAAGACGTAGATGACTCCACAAGCGACGACGGTGAAAGCGTGTTCTATGTAAGTCGACCAGAGACGCCGCTCAGCATGACGGCCATGTTTGCCTCTAGGGACGCAAACCAAACTCGTGGCCGGCCCTCCACATCCCAGCCCGAGCATGCCCCTCGACCCAAGCGCTCCTTCTCCATCACCTCCTTCCTGTCGTCCAAGAAGGAGCGAACAGGCGCCGTGTCCAGACCCAGACTTTCCCGCCGTGCGAGCCAGCGGGTCAACTCAGCACCCATCCTGCCTACTATGAGCAGACGGCCACACAGCACCTCATATGGAGAAGGCCGCCGCGATGTGACAGACCCCAAACCAGCAAAGCGCGACATCGCCACGTCCGCCGGGCTCCCCGAGTCAGCGACGGCACGCCATGGTTCTCACACCAGGCGTCTGTCGTCGCCCTTGCCGGCGCTTCCTCCCTCTGACATGCTCGCTGGCGCGGGCTTGGCGCCCTTGTCTCAGCAGCCCGACGATTTGGCCTCAGCCGCACCGGGCGCCAATCAGGCGCCACCATCCCCTACTCTAGCGCAATCGGGAGTTCGGGTCTCGCGTCATTCCATGGCCCCCTCAGAACAGGCCTCGACATTGGTCGGCTCGTCTGATAATGAACTGCGCGCCTTAGGCTCCGGCGACGAGGACGACGCTGACGTCCAGAGCGACACCGTCTTTGATTCGCTGCGCACTGGTGCGACCAGAAGTACAGCTGGCGGCGCCCGTGGGCCTCGCATTGAGACCATATTCGACGAGTCACCCCCCGCCAAAGTCAAGGTCAAGGTCACAGCCCTACGCGATCTACTGCCGCCCGGCGCTTTTGGGGAGCCCACCGTCAATGGTGTCGCCGGCCACCAGAGCATCGCCGAGGAAGAAGAGAGCATCTCGACGCCCGTGCGGACTGTTCGTCCCCAGCGCTCATCGCAGGACTCGCCCACCTTCTCCCGAACACACAGTGCGCCTCTCTTCCCCAAGACGATAACGTCGTCTCCCCCGAGCATGCCCAAGCCGCTTTCGCTTGGCACATTGGAATGGGACTCGCGAGCAGGGGACGACGACGATAGCAGTAGGTGGTCACTAGAAGAGGCAGATGATGAGGATCCCTGGGTTGATCATCCAACAGTCAACCACAAGGCCACACCCGTGTCGCTGCTGCGACAGCACAAGCATCTGCTCGCGCCCGATTACGTTCCTAACCCAGCTACGCCCAAGCGTCCTACATCAGAATTCGGCGACAAGGACGCGCGAAGCAGCATCTTCGATTGGTCTGAGCAGCAAATCGCAGACAAGAACTCAGGCAGCTGCACGCCGCCACGTCCCCGGACGGTGCACGGAAAGAAGGATGCGGACCGCAGAGGCAGTCGCTCTGTTGGACGCAGAGTCCCCAGCGGGTTACACGCCCGCAGCCAGAGTGTGCCCGTCGTTCCGGATCTGACTGGCAAGCGTAGCACAGTGGTCACAAACAAGTTTGGCACCTGGGGTGTGGGAAGCAAAGGTGTCACCGAAGACTGGAACGACGACTTCGACTTTTCCGAACTCACTGAGGAGCCTGCTGCAGAGGACGGAAGCTCGCCTATGGCGAACAGTGGCTCGTCCATGGTGGTACCAAAGACTATACAAGAACAGCAGAACAGCGTTCTTGCAAACATCAGTCTTCTGCGCGAATGGGGACTACTAATCGAGGAGCTCAAAGAGCAAAGAGTACGCGCGGTTGCGCTCGGCATGATACAAGGCCCACCTTCGGGCATGTGGCTTGAAGTGGATGCGATGATCGAGCTTGCAGACCAGGAGGCCGACCACGAGGGCTTGGCCCACGCCTCTCCGCCCTCATCGCCCGGCTTTGACGACGACGCTTTTGACGAACCACCAGCCAGCCCTAGTCTTGGACGAGGAAGGCAGAAGTCATCATCTCCTAACGAAGATAGCCCCAAGCCACCACAGTCAGCGCGCCCTCTGAGGAAGTCGATTCTCCCTTCCAGCAACGGCATCTTTACCCCGCAATCTTCACCGATCACACCTAGACTGGACTCTGACGCCACACTTGCGACACAAGAATCCAAGACTATCGTTACGAGACCCCGGAAAGACTCGGAAGCTAAAGCGCGTTCTGTCATCGAAGCGCTGCAAAAGAGGAGGAGCGCATACGAGCCGTTCCTGGATGCGCCTCCCGTACCTTCGACACCTTCGAAGAAGGTTCCATTCGATACCGCGACTCTGCGACGCATCGTGCCATACGTTAGTACGTTGACGCGCAAAGTCAAAGACACGATCAGGGATGCGGAGGGCTTGTACTCGAGTCCTATCGCAAGCCCACTACACGAGGAGCCACCATTCAGCATGATTCACCAACAAGATGCGGATCTTGCGGCTCAGATGAAACTCATGACGGTGATGTAAATTCACAGGAAACAACGACGCGATGGAGCTATTACGAGCATGTTTGGGGTAGCATTCAACTCGCTCCGTGCTGGCCACACGCATCTGGGCAAAAGTTTGTGGGGAGAAACAAAAGTTTCTTCTGGATATTTCCCTTTGGATCAGAGCGTTTGAGCGACGATCCGGCCTCCATGGCCTGATCACCTATTACCCTGTATTAATTACGCAGCCGTCGACTACCAGGTCAGGCCAAGTACTGCATTTGAAGCGACATGGCATTTGCGATTCCTTTTTGCATAAGTTGCAGCATCTCCCAGCCAGGATACACGTGGAAAAGAGGAGGCATGCGATATGAAGCGCACATGCGCAGCATGCATATGTTTTGTCTAATGGAAGAATACGGCGCATTGAGGATTGGGTTTCCTATGTGGATGCGGAGCATATAATACTCTCCTGGTGGGATGGGCATACCGCGCAGTTCGCGAGAGCCGCTTTTCTACACGTTCCAGTCATGTACAAAAGCGGGTTGAGGGTTTTCTCTTTGTTCCTTTGTCTCATTGTCTCTCTTGATCTATGGTATCTTGAATCACCATGAGGGTCTTCTCAAAATCATAGCATCGATACCTGACGGCTGCTCATTGTCTCGCAAGACAAGAATACACAGAATTTGAAATATATCTTAGACTGCCCTTCCGCTCATACATCATGATGTCTTCACTTTTGACTTTCGGGTTCGGCAACTCTATCGTACCCAGATAGTTTAGGCCCTCTAGGTGTTCTCTAACAACCGACAGAACCATATCCTGAAACTTCAGTACACCGCCACTTTCTTTTAGAACACGGTCATCCCGGAATGTATTGCTGTATCCTAATTCCCGGTTGAGGTCATGTCGAATACCCCAAAGCTTCGGAGCCGTTGTTGCGAACCCAGCTACTGCAGCCCCATAGCCGAATCACACACCACTAATGCATTTGCTCGCAGCGCCTTGATGAGCCAGCTACCAAGACATCGCCGAACGAGGCGCAGTAACCCGCACGCACGCACTGAAGATCGCCTGCGCATCTTGTTCATGCCGGAGAGCCAGATCATCGTACAGCAGCGTACCACTCGCTTTCGCTTCTGCCCGGGCGGGTCAGTGAGCGGCAGAGACACGGGACGAGATATCCGTGCAGAACATCATCCTACGACAACACAACAGAGAATGCAGCAGGACATGCGTGAAGTCCAGTCTCCTTACAGATACTCCGTACGAGTAAATTGTGCGTCAAGCCACACCAACAATCTTGGATGATCACAACAATACAGCCCATGTCGCATTCCAGTCATAAAGCCGAAGCTACCACTAACCGAGAGACGCCCTAAGACGCTGCACTGTCATCCACGATGCATATTCCGGTTTTCCCAACGATATGGCTTACCACACTTCGTGCTATACAGCTTCTTTCGTTCCTCCTCGGGATGGCTACCGCGATTGATGGTCCGACTCCCCGGCAAGCGCATACCACGCGTCCAAGGGTGGGAAGAATACCCTCGGCCGGTTCGGTCGCACGCCGGAGTACTGTAAACAGAGCCTCCACGACCCTGCTCCACTATTTCCTTGTAGACGTGTAAACGGTCGCACGACCTGCCCTATGGAAACATGCGATTGCTGCACCAAGACGAAGGGCGAGTACTGCGGTTCCCTCAACGCGTACTCGCCAATTTCAATATGCATGTAGCTGAGACTGCGATGGTTTGACGGTAGGGCAAATCCTCAGACCCCGCGCTGTTATCCATCCGAGGTCAATGACGTTCCTTCTGTCTTGGGAGGCGCAGGCCAAGCAATGACGGGAAGCAACACCAAGAGAGAGGCGACTGCCACTTTGGCTGCTTGCCTGACTACATGCTAGAAGAGGGGCAAGTCTATATGTGAAGCGCTGCACTCCTGTCCATCCTGGTCTCCCCTTTCCCATCTGGACCAATCCTCGTATCGAGACGCTGAGCAGCCAACTGCCATCCAATCTCCACGACCTCACGGCGCTAACACCAAGAAAGAGTACTCCTCGTACCCGTTGCCTGGACTACATCCGTACCTTGCATACCTCAACTGCGCCCCAACCAAACCTACTCCAATCTCGCTAAGCTCCGGCTCGGATTTGTTACGCCTCCAGGACGGCGCAACTGCCCAAACCACTTGCCTTGCAGTGCTTGCGTCGGAAAAAGGCCAGCACTCTCACGTCATTCTCCGCAATTCAACATGGCGCTGAAACACTTAATAGCAGTGGTGGGCCTGAGCGGCTGCTCTGGTGTGCTGACGGCCAAAGCGCAATCCACCTCCACTGGTGCAGCATGCGCAAGTCCCATTGCCCCACAAAATGGTGCTCCTTCGGTGGCGCCGGGGTTCCGTGTCGAGGTTGTGGCTAATGGCCTGAGGGATCCACGCGGCATTATTTTCGATCGGGAAGGTGGGCTGTTGGTCGTCGAACAGGAGCATGGGGTTAGCCGGTTGAGTATGACTGGTAATGGTCGCTGTAGGGACGTGCAGATGGTGGTTGAGGATGACTCTGTGAGTGCTTGCATCGCGTTGAGTGAGATGTGGCTTGATCGCTGACTATGGTAGTTGAACCATGGCATTGCTTTCTCGCAGGATGGAAATACGCTGTATGCGTCATCCCACAGCAATGTCTACGCTTGGGACTACGATGCGTCAGAAGGTAGGACTACATCCGAATCCCGTGACGTCGTCGAAGGCATGGGAGACGACGAAGGTCACACTACGCGTACACTCCTCATGTCACAGAAGGCTCCTGACATGCTACTTGTCTCTCGTGGTAGTGTGGGTAACATCGATCTCCAGACTCTGGATGTGACTACAGGTGTCTCAACGATCAAAGCTTTCAATGTAGGCAACATGACCGGCTCCGCGTACGATCATGCTTCAAGCGGACTGCTGCTAGGTTGGGGTCTGAGGAATTCGGTGGGAGTAGCTGAGGAACCCATCTCGGGTGGTATATACTCTGTTGAGAACAGTGTCGACAACATCGAACGTAGTGGAGAGACCATCAACCAAAACAACCCCGGTGAAGAACTAAACTTCCATGGCTATCTCAACGGAACTGGCAGCGATGTCCAGGGTGGCAACTATGGCTACCCTTCTTGCTTTACAGCTTGGAATAGGTCCGAGATTCCGGATTTCGGTGGTATGACAGGCGAGGCGTTCGCTATCGGAGACCAGAACGCGACTGTCAACGATACGTTCTGCGTGGAAGACCGCATCGCTCCTAGAATCACATTTGATGCTCACATGGCTCCCCTCGATATCAAGTTCAATCCTGAGGGCACTGCCGCATGGGTAACGATGCATGGCTCTTGGTAATTTGATCCGTTCCAATCTTCGGTACCCTTCTGATAATTGTGTAGGAATCGCGAAGAGCCCATAGGCTACAAGCTCAGCCTCGTCCAATTCGACGGCAAGGGCTCGCCTGTCGAGCTCGCGAACAGCACCACTGCTGCTACTGATATTGTTTCCAATCCCGATCTCTCTGCTTGCCCCGACTCCTGCTTCCGTCCCGTCGGTCTTGCGTGGGACGCCGAGGGACGCTTGTACATGAGTTCGGACTCTACGGGCGAAATCTTCGTCGTCACGAGGGAGGATGGTAGTGGTATCGCGGATGTGAGTGAAGCGGCTGACGCTAGAGAGACTGAGAGCCCGACGCCGTCTGGAACTGGAGGGCCGTCAAGCCCGACCGAGACGAGCGGTGCTGCGCTGAAGTCGGGTGTTGGAAGCGGAAGTTATCTGTCTGCGGTTGTTGCTGTTGTCGGCGCCCTCCTCTGAAGTTGAGAGAGAGTGATGTTCTCGGATATGCACTACCTTGATAGTATGATAGTATAATGCACTGCACGCTCAACAGAGCGCTGTGCGTCAAGAACTTCCTCTCGACCTTCCAGATGCAATTATGCAATGACTGATGGTTCTCAGAAAAGCGTCGGGTGTTCTTCGCGAGTCACATGTCGACGTTCGAAATGGGATGTGCGTCATTGGCTGTCCCTTCCCTCGAGGCCATGTGGAAGACCAAGAGAGCAGCGGCAACTACAACCATCATCATCGCCTTCAACCCCACAGTCAAATTACGCAGTCTCTGACCATGACTTTGGCACCGACATCGCTCGCTAACCTCCGCCTCCCACGTCGATGTAACCTCGTTGGAACCCTGCCTGACGCCTACAAACGCACACTGACCCAGCACAAGCGTTTGCAACTTCTCATCACTATTGCGCCCAGCGAGCCGCAAGGCACCTCAGCTATCCTGCCCGATCCGCATATCGGCCGTCGTCTACCACCGCGAAGCTTGAAGCACTCGCATAGCCCGGAACAGCCGTACATCCGCGCGCAGTGTTGGGGACGATTGGTAGCGTTCACCTTCACCTCGTCTCGCCACGGCCATCTACGGCCAGTCGTACCCCTGTCGCCTTCACTGTCTATAGAACAATAGGTGAGTTTCGTTACTCGCGGCTAGCGGAGTGAGCTCGCCTCCGTATATCATCCTCACACACTACCAGCCTCTTTTCTCTCACGAACCCTCTTCCTCCATCGCACCGGATCAGCGAATAGTTCAATCATTGGCCTCTTCAGTATCCCATACCAACATGGCTCATTCCCAGAGCCCATCTACTGCTACGGCGTTCAACTCTCTACCTATAGAGGTGTGTATATCTAACATGCATGCACGGGTAGACCCAAGTATACTAACAGTCACTCGTAGCTCAACAAGGCCATCGCTCATGAGCTGCACGACGATAAGGACATCGCGGCCTACAAGGCCACCTGCCGTGCTACCAACGATGCCATCGACGCCGATAATCTTTCTTTCTGGCGGGCAAAGTACCGTGAGAAGTACGACTTCAAGGCCGGCCCTTCCAACCTCAACCTGCGTCGGGTATATCAGCGTCGCTCCCGACTATTCAAATACGGTCTTCGTTATAAGTTTCACTATGGAACCCGCCAGGGGGAGAGGCAGGTCATCAACATGATCAAAGACATGATCATTGGTACGTCGGAACTACCCAGGAACTGAACACAATTTTCGTGTGCTGACGAATGCAGAGTCCTATCAAGGAGCTACCGAAGTTAACGAGCATGGCCGTCTTCGTTGCAAGAACCACGCCCACATTGTCGACTTCATTCTCAAATCCCATATCCTCAACAACGACCGACGGGCCCCTGAGACTCAAAACGGCAAGATGGCTTATATCGACGATGGGCTTGCCGCTGTCCGGCTCATGTGCTCGCAGTTCATCTTCAACCTCCAAGGCCTGCGACATGATGTCTTTGCTTTCGAGGACTCACAGCACGCTGTCTACCTCTCATCTGACAAGGAACGCCTCTTCGCCGGAGAAGACCATAACAAGTTGAACCTCAGGTGGATGCTCCACGCGATGAACTTCTTCCGTCACCACATGATGAACGAAGATGCCCAAACTTTGTTCGACAGGATCGATGAGCTAGACATTACGCAGAAGCCTTCGGCGTGGCGGGAACAACTCACTGACGGAGCCAAGCCTCTGAGCAGGTACTGGAAAGGCACATACTCTTTCCTCGAGAACATTGAGGTTCAGAAGCTACGAAAGCAGGGACCAGGCAGACAGGTCTTCATTGACAAGAACGTGGACGAGGGCAAGATCCAGGTAGATTTCCAATTGAGAATGGCCTTTACGAACCCTACTGATCACATGCAGTCTCTCGAGCTTGCTTTCGCAGAAGACAGTCGCCTACCCGATGGTCGCGAGCTCCCATGGCCACCCGTCTTCGAAGATCGCCTCCGCTCGCTTGGGAAGGACGCTGGAAAGCAGCAAGGCATCAAGACTCAGGGTCGAAACACCGCCCCCAAGACAACTACAGGAGGTAGCATCCAGTTTGAGGGCAAGGGTGAAGACCTCGATGACGAATACAAGGCCCTTGGCTGGCTCAACCCACTGCCCCCTCAAGGTGGTGTCCCCGGCTGGCAGCGCATCACCTTCATGAAGCACTTCACTGAGGACTACGACCACCCCAACGAGGACAATCTCTGGGCGTACGAGGGCGTAGTTCTGCCCGGTGGTCGCATTATCCTGGGCCGCTGGTGGTTTGCCTCAGAGCCGGGTCGTAATGATGTAAGTACCACCTACCCATGACATCTCATCCCTGCTTTCGATGGACATGTGCTAACAAACGCTAGATGGAGTACAACGGCCCCTTCATCCTCTGGGCGGTCGACGAACCCGACTTTGACGAAGACATCAGTGATGATGAGGCTGTTTGAACGGTGAAACACATGCTGTCGGCGGCAACCCTGTTTTGGACCTTCAGTTCACAACGTATATCTCCTTTGTATATCTTTTGGTCATCTACCTTATCTCCCCTGCACATTCTCTGGCGTTCGACTATATTCACATACCTTCGGTGGCGGAGTCTTCAAGGCCTGGATGCCTGGACATTGCCCTTTGCTTATCTTAGTTTGGCACTACATATCACATAGCCCCTTCATCTTGGCTTTTGGAGAATTGGGAGTAGGACGGATGTCCTAAATCAAAAGTCTTGTTCAACGGTCGTGTGGAAAAATTCCGTCCGCGTGACATCAACGCTGTGAATGCACCAACTCCAAAGTGAACATGCCGCAGTTGAGATCGATCTTCGGTAAAGATACATCACGAAGTCTCAAAATCGTGCAAGCCAGAGGGCATGTACAAAGAGACCGTTTTCCATTTCATGTCTATCTTCATGTCGTAAAGTCATGTCGTGAATCATTCATGTGTGAGCCAGAAGACTCGATTGTCGCGTCAACCAAAAAAACACTTCTTCTCTTTCCTTCCGAACCCAAGAAGTTGCCTCCATCCATCGTCAATCATCAGAGTCGCGAAAACAAAGGAATGGAGCTGCTCAACAAGAAGAACAATAACATTCACCTCCTCGCTTAACCAAGCTTTCTGAAAGACAGAATAAAAAAAAGGTATGTAACAATACTTCTATCATCCACCGCAGTACAAGTAACCAAGTCGGCCGTGTCGTGAATAACCATCGTGAGTAAACCAAAGAAAAGAAGCTCTAGTACCTCGCACCCATGGGAGGGGGCGGGACGGAGCTACCGTAGGGATTCGCATCGGCATAGGACGTAGGGTAGGATTGGTTGGCAGCTACAGGATATGCATACGGATTAGCGGCTGCACCATTCATGTTGCCACCGAGGGCGTTCATCCGGGCTTCCTTTTCGCGGCGTTCACGGAGCTTTCTCCTCTTGCGGCGGCGGGTCTCGAGTTCCTTGACGCTGTGGCGTTGCTCGTTCATCTCTTTCCATTCCGAGTAGGCGGATTTGATACCGAGGGCGGCGATACCCACGGCAGCGGCGTCCTGGAGCATGTTCTTGGACTTGCGTTTGCGCGCTTCTTCGGCCGTCATCTCGCCCTCGCCAACGAGCTTGCGGCGGTTCTCCGAGGCGACCATGGAAGAGTAGACTCCGTGGGCGGCGTGGATGGTGGCCACAGTGGCTAGACCCGCAGTGAGGAGTTCCTTACCTCGTAGCTTCTTGCGCTTCTCCTCCATATCGGTGGACGACTCGGAATCCGCACTAGAATCCCGTCGACCCCGATCCATTCCTCCATCCTGTGCTGCTAAAGCACCCGCTCCTGCCCCACCGGCGGCGGCTAGTCTGCGATCTGGGTTAGTCCTGGAAGGGGCTTCGGAATACTGGTCGTCCATACCGCGGCCTCGGCTGTACGAGCGGCGGTTGCCCCTACGTGATGGCACGTAGCTGTCCGAGCTGGAAGAGCGGGATCGGTCCTTTCGAGCACGAGACTTGGAGCGCACACGGTCGTATAGAGCCTTGCCTGCTGCGAGCACAGCACCGGTACCAGCTACCTTGGCGATACCGTTGTTTCCTCCTCTGTCGCTGGAGTTGGAGCGGGAGCGGCCACGAGAGCGAGAGCGTCCGAAGATGGACCTGGACCTGGACCTGGCACGAGAACGGGAGCGAGACCTGGAGTCGTCACGGCCACGAGGAGCACGGGAGCGCGAGCGAGAGCCGTTGGCTAGGCGAGAAGCGACAAGACCACCGAGTGCAGACTCAGCGACGTGCCTCTTCTCGTGCTTGCCGGGGTCTCTGTCGATGAGACCGTCGATACCGGCAGCACCGAGAGCAGCAGTCGCGACACGTTGGCCCTTGGCACCGGTCCATGGACCGGCTTCCTTGCGGCTGCGGAAGGCTTCGACGGCACCGGCGACGATAGCGGCTTTGGCGGCTTGCTCCCACTTCTCAGACTTGTGTCCACCCCGGCTGCGGCTGCGCGAACGTGATCCGTAACGGCTGCTGCGGCGGTCGCGCTCGTCGTAGTATCCGTATCTGTCGCTATCATAGCCACGGTCGTCTCGACGAGGGCGGGAGCGTGATCGGTCACGACCGCCGCCAGTGACGGCGCCGATGATGCCGCCTAGGCCTGCTGACTCGCCGAAGTCCTTGACTTTGTCGACGATGGACTTGCGGCGCTGCATGTTGGGGCGCTCGGAGTACTCGGAACGGTCATCGTAGTCGCGGTCACGTCGGCGGGGACGGTCATAGTAGTCGTCGTCGTAGCCACGGTTCACTGAGCGGGTGCGGCGGGGCGGCGCATACTCCTCGCGGTACTTGGTCTGCCTATACTCGGCACCGGGAGGGAAGTCGCGAGGAATTTCTTCGATGCTGTCCTCGCGCGCTGCGGGGCGGTAGACGAGATCTCGTGCCCCGCCTCCACGGCCGCCGCGCTCAATGTACGTCGTCTCGGTGACATACTCGGGCTCCCGCGTACGGTGGCGCGGTGCGTAGCTGTACTCAGACATAATGATGGTGGTGGTGCTCTATACCGCCGTGGGCGATTGGGGCTCTAGGGGTCCGGCAGCAGGAAGGGTCGTATCCAGTCCGGTACTCTGCGCAAGGCTATGTTAGTGGGCGCGCGAGGGGAAAAAAGAGAGCGGCGGCGGGCAAGCATACCGAGTAGTCGCTTTGTTCAGATAGAGTTTACTTGGCTGCTAGCGCAAGTGAGAGGCTGGTGGGCAGTCGCAACGAAGAATAAGGTGCCTGCGAAGTGACGGGACAAAGTGGGTAGGGGAATGGGGTGTCGAGCGGCGCAGGGCACAGGCAGGCAGTGGTATTTAACAGGTTGTCGACTCGGAAGGGCCAGGGCTGATGACTGTCCGTTTGGCTTGGGTCCCAAGGATCTATCTCGGTGCAGGTGGGGTGGCGTAGATATTACCGTTTGCTTGAGGCTGGGGTGGGCAGCCGTCTTGAGGGCACAGAGCGTGCGAGTGATGTCATTGCCGCCTGCCGGGCAGCCAAGCCCAATTCTTCTGCCACCACCTGCTGCGCCCAACGAGAAGCGCCTGTCCAACCCGGCTAGGTCTCATGATTTGCGCAGCTTTTCTGACCGGCATCCCTCACCGACGCACCCTTTGGGGGTCTTTTCGCTGCGAACATGTTCAACGTGCTGCTCGACATAGCCCCTCTCCGGCCGCCTCCGGAACCTGACCGGTGCCTCACTTCTGTCCATCTTACGTTGCGACGCCCCCAACGACAGCTGCCGTGAGGTAATGCTTATTTTGCCCATCTGCATGGCGGCGTCTTTCAACTCCACATGTCTCGCTGCGTCTCAGTCGTTCTTCCAAGTTTCGGTGCTGCACCTGGCCAGCTCGGCAGCACTCAGGCTCGATGACGAAGCCCGGTGCCATTGTGTGTAGGGGTGCTATGTACAGAACGCCACGTGAGTCAGCTGTCATTGGCCGGCAACTGCCACAGGCACATGGAACTCCAGCGAACATGCGAGGATACACCTGTCAATCCGTGGGCTGACACCTGAACATTGGCCCGAACTACGGAAAAACCGGGTACTACCTGTCAGTTGTAAAAAGATGCCCAACTACATACTTTTCTTCCTTGAATTTTATCACGTAAATGACGATATATCTTCATGATGTGCCATTTTTAGTTGCTACGATCTGCCTAGGTGAGGCGAGTTTCTCGACATCGTACTAGCTGCATCGTTTCACATAAGTGCGACAACCTTTCCAATCCTCTTCTCGATATTCGAAACGCCCATCTCTGCATCATCGCTGAGCATAGAGTAACCTGTACATGCGTCGTTGTTCGCAGGTCAAACCTGTTATCGCATTTAAGCCATGTCACCAGTCTCAGCTGCCAGCGATTGCTAGCTCACATCCTGCTCTCTACTTCTGTCTCTTGCGCTGATGACCTGAGATGTACTCACCTTGATCGATCGAGCCCTCGTCCCTGCCACTGCGCTGTCTCTTGTTTCCTACAGTCATCGAGGCCGTCATCTTCCCCATCTCTCGCTCCAAGTCTTTCGTAAACTCTTGCAACGCAGGTATGATACCGAAGTACGCCTTGCTGCTCTCAGCTACGAGCGTCCATTTTTGAGTTCCGGGCTCGCTGAGTGTAACCGCGCGTATCATGATAAATTCTTCTCCCCTATCGTTGCGGCGGCCCATGGGCGCGGTCGCGCCCATGGAGGAGGAGCGGTCAAACTGATGGCGGCAGATGAGGATGGAGAAACCATTGTTGTTGGGATAGGCTGGTTGGTACATGTCGATGATGTATTCTATTGCGCAGTCAGTATTACATATTCTGCTACAGCGCCTGCAGGCAGCGCAAATGTGGAAGTGACGTACCGAGGATAACTTGCTTGAGCTCGCGGTGCAGATGCAGCTCCTCGAGACGGCTCAGCTCTTGCGCTGTCCTGTTGTTGGTCATGGATACGGTTTGTTGCTGATGCGTAATTAAAGGTGTGGGGGTCAAGAGTGAAGGAAGATGGTGGTGCGTAGATGCGGGAAAGCGTCAGTATGATGGATCGGAAAGCGCAAGTGAGTCACGTGGTGGGAAGCCGCCTTCACCTCCTTTTCGTGTTCTGATGAGTAAAGCGAGTAGTAGCAATTTGGATATTTCACCCGGAAGATAACAAGAGAGTGCTGTAGCGTATACTACATAGCCCACCAGATTTCCATTCGGTCTCACACGCAGACACGTCCATCTCGACGTTACCTTTCCTTCTCAATTACTCAATCTTGCCTTCCCGCTGTCTCCCAGCCATGGCTCTACTTTGACTTTGAACGCGCTTAAGTCCCGCTTCTTCTTCTTTCTTGGTGGGGCAGCAGCAAGGTGTGGATGATACTTTCGATAGTGTTTGAGCCGGGCATCCTGTCTCTTGAACACCTTGTCGCATGTAAGGTCCTCACATTCGTATGGAATTACGCCACCAATGTCATGGCGTTGTCTCTTATGGCGGACCAGGTTCCCTTTTCTATAAGTTCCGGTGAAGGATGCAGTACAGCCCTGTCTATCGCAATAAAGAGCGTCTTTATCGAACTCCTCGTCCGAGTAGTACTTCTCGTCGTATGACAACTCGTCCAGCTTGGGGTCGGACGCGCTACTAGACCCCTGATCCAGGTGCGCAATCTTCACGTTTTTGAACAGTTTCGTCTTCCCATAGTCACTGCAAGATCTCCTGTCTTCCATGTCGGAGACACCGCGGTCAGACCGTACAGGGTCGTTGAAGGTCGAACTAGCCATGGAGGAGGAGAGCTCCTCAACGTCGCCTGTTCTACGTTCAGGCTCATTTCTAGTCTTTGTGCCATGGTCGAACCATACGTCGCATTTAGAGCTTTCATGTTGCTATCAGCATCAATTGCGAGACTTGATAATCATGGAACTCACCATGTGAAGCCCCCGCCAGGACATGGGATAGCTCGAACCGAAGTACACCGAGGCATGGGACATAATATCTCCTTATCTGCTCTCACAATGACGACCATTACAATGGATGTTCCCGGTAAGAGTCGAGAAGCTGTCGTAATGATTGATGACCTTTCTTTCGATCTGAGAAGCTCATAGTTGCCCAGCGCAACATCTTGGGAGGCAGCACCCTCTTTGAAACGATGACGAATGCAATGTTCCAGCAGATCAAAATCAAATTCTGATGGTATCGGAAACTTGTATCCAAAAGCATCTTCAATAACGAATGGGTCTTGGAAATATGTCCAGCCAGTAGCCACTGCCCTGTTTGAATCCCGGATTTCGAGAACAACGGCGTATATTTGCTGGGTTGAGGCACTGTATGGTATTTAGTTAGTTGAAAGCTCCACTAATGTACATGAAGGGAATGGACATACAAGACTTTGCTAACCAACTGCCCAAAGTCGGCCAGGAATGATCTGACCTCGCCGAATATAAACTGATGCAGGCCAGTGACCAGTGTCTGAATGTTACTCGCTACAGCTCCTTGGCTAGATACATAATCGCCAATGTCTGTAAGAGTATCGTGTGTATCATGGATTCGCTCAGCAATGTGCGTACAGACTGCATCCGTATTCTTTCTCATATCTTGCACCTGTCCTGCGACATGCCTTATCAGGTGCATTTTGATGACACTGCTGTAGAATTGGAGGTTTCTCTGAAGTTGATCGACTTCCTCTTTCCGGCAGAACGTCCAGCGGAGCTTATCCTTGGTACCTCTCACAGCACTTGATCGACTTGACGAGCCTAGCGATGGCTCGTATGGTTTGATCTTCGCCCAGAATTCGTCAAGTCTTTCGCGGCACGATTTGATTGTGTCGAGGAGTGCTGAGGGCGTTACATTGCTGTATAGTTGGTTTACACTGTCCAGGGCTGTCTTGAGTGCGTCGAGCTCCTTGATCAGTTCCTGGTAGTCGGATATTGCTCCACCAGCGGAGCGTAGACAGTCGGTAATGTCTTTGATAAGTTTGCCAACGGCTATGACGTCTCCCACTGCGAAACCGAAAGACATGATTGTGCGGCGTGAGTGACGAAAAGGCTGCCGCTTCGTGGACAGGTCGTGCAGGCAGACGCGGGTGCGTAGCCTCTCAATGATTTGCTATTATCGCAATTTAAAACGCTGATTGTCAGATACTAGATTACTAAACAACTTAGAAGCCAACCTTGAACTATGTAAGAAATGGAAGACGTGTGAATGAAGATGCGATGGATGCACCAGCTGCGAGGTCATGCCTAAGCTCGGTAAACGAAAGTTGCCAGCATGGGAGGCGGTGCTGCAGCTGCAGGTTATGCACTTCGCCACCACTCTCAGCCTTGCTGCAGGCTGGTTCTTCCGGCACCAATAGCCTACAACCACGAGGAGGGAGTTGTAGAAGTGTAAATGGAGATGTGGGTTGCGACTGGAATGTGCACTCAGCGACGCCGAGGACAAAGGCGCGAGGAAGGCGTCGATGTGCTGAAGCGAAAAGCGCAGGTGCGCCACGTGGTAAGACTGGCAGTCACGACTACTTGTCCGCTCTCAACATGATATCTTTCAAAAAAGTACTGTATAAATGTTGACCTTCCATACTCGGGGAATTGCATGCGATACTCCGTCTGTCATCCGCCAGCTTCGACATGTTTGCCAGCAACATGCGAATGAATACTAGACAAATGAACTCCGTACCGATCAAGGCATTTACGAAGCTCCCGCCCAACATCCATACAACGCGGAGACCCTTCCTCGAGATCCGGCTCAAGCTCGAGTTGAATCGTCCCAAAGAATCTACCGTCTACAGGACCTCCCACTGACACACTATAACAGGATACAACACCGTCCATTTTGGCGATATCTCCAGCAACCGGGCCGTAGGCGGGAGGATAGTCTCCAAAGGGGTCATATCGGACGTTTCGTCGTGTGCTTCGCTCCATGATGTTGTAGGAGACGATGTTGGATGGCTGGTTGCGGGTATGCGCTAGCTGTTTGAGAGGAAACAATTTCGCGCCATTTGTAACGACGTCTTCGATGTTTGATAACATATCGCTGGCCGGGTAGTATTCCACATCGCGGTTCGAGCTGCATCAGTCGCATTAGTGAAGTATCGCCAATGAATAGGATTGGGCTTACCATATAGACCCGCCTCCGCCGCACGACATCGCCTCTGCGGATTGGCGATGAGGTATGGGCCATACTGCCTCCTTGGTGATCCGGGTGCTCACGATGATGAACATCGTGATGGCTGTTCCAGGCTGGAGTCGGGAGGACTCGTTGATGATATCAAAACGATTCTGTTTCCTACACAGCTCGTAGTTCCCCGCCTTCACCTCCATAGACCCCCCGCCAATTTTGAACCGGTGTTTAATAACGGTATCAATCAGGTCGTAGTCATACTCTGTTGGGATAGGAAATTTGACTCCGAAGGCGTCTTCGACCTCCAAGGGAGCCTGGAAGAATGTCCAGCGCGTGTCTACTGATATCATGTTCCGGATATCAAGGAAAATATCGTAAATTTGCTGCGTTGAAGTACTGAATCAGTCTTTAGCTCAGGACTAAGCCATAACATAGTTAGGTTACGTACAGGGTACTGCTGATGAGCTGGAAGAGACGAATCAAATACGATTTGACGTCTCCGAAGACGAACTGATGCATGTCTTGAAGCAGTGTTTGGACATCACTCAACACGTCTGCCTGGCGCGTGTTCTCTTTGTTGATGTGCTCAAGAGCGGTCTGGGCGTGATGAAGCTGTTCGGAGGTATGCGAGAAGTCAATTGCGGTTGTTACGCGCAAGATCTCTAGGCGCTCAAGGCTGTGTTGCGCTAGATGGAGGCTGATGATACTGTGGCAGATGTGGATGTCTCGTCGAAGTTGCTCGATCTGGTCTTTCCGACGAAAATGCCAACCGAGCTTGTCTGATGTAGCCCTCAAAGTGGATGCGTGGCTGGCGGAGCCCAAAGATCTTTCATACTTCTTTACTCTTGACAAGAACCCTTCAAGCTGTAACCTGCATTTCGTGGTAGCAATCTTGATCGGGCCAACATGAGCGGATGCATTCCTGTCGTCCTCGATGTGATCGAGGTGGTGTAATGATGTATCGAGTGCTTTGAGATCTCTGATCAGCTCCTGATATTCCGACTCAGCTCCACCTACAGACCGTAGGCAGCCGACAGTTTCCTTGATCAGTTTCCCAACAGCGATGAAATCCCCAACAGCAATTCCGAAGGACATTGTTATGTTTGGTAGTGGAGGCGATGTCTGCTCATCTCAGGTTGTAGAGATACATGCCGTTGCGTTGTTCACCGGCTCATAGATAATTCGATGCTGTTGTCAAGATGCGCAATAGAATGTGAAAGTGAGTGAGTAAATCGTTCGAGCGCTCCGGGAGAATATATCGAAAGTGACGGCAACTGCGGGATGATAAGTGCGAGTGACGAAGATGCAAGAGTTATATAACACTCCATCCTGGTATCATGCTCCTTTAGGGTGGGCGAATGAGATTGGCGGGGAGGATCGTTCGGGCACTCCACCTGCAGCCAAGCAAGGCGCAAGCCTGCATGCAACTGCAGCTTAGTGGCTTCGCGACCCCTTCCAGCCTCGCCATTCGACTACCTGTTTGACCATCACCGTCATATTTAGAATCGTGTAACATTGAATAGCTCGGAATGGAAGAAGGGTTAGGATGCACTTGGACCCCAGATGCGATAGTGACCAACCGAAAGCGAAGATAAGAAGCCCGCAGCTCAGATCCCGGTGATTGGCTACTTTGGCAGTGCTCCATCTCCATCCCAAGCGTTCGCAGTGTCCAAGTAGGTTAACAGTACGTGTGGCAATCAATTGGTGGTTTCCTGCCCCGTCCCGATACATATGGTACAAGCATATATACACAGCGCAAGATCATTCTCAAACCTTGATCGCGTACCGCCTGGGCTTGTCGCTTTCGACGGTCTTTCCTGTCCTCTCCTTCGCCCACAACCTTAATCTTGACATGCGCTTTAAATTTGACTCCTCCCGCTTCCTCAGTATCTCCGACTCTTGCTCCTCTGGCGTAAGCTCCATAGCCGTTGCCTTCTTCTTCTGTATCTCGCGATTCGGCTTGGAAACGTTCTTGTGCAATAACTTCTCCACTTGCTCTCGAAGCGTCCTGGCTGCTTCCCGCGCGTCGTTTTGGTCAGTTACCCCATTGATCCTCACAGAGTCGTTAATCTCCCTCTCCCTGTCTTTCTTGCCCCATGCGTTGAGGTCGGGTGTCTCAGGCCAGACGAATGGCTGCTCCAACTCTACTGTCATGTATTTCTTCGATTCCTCGCGGAACCAATGCCGTGGTTGTTCGCGCGTATCGCGTACCGGCATTTGCTTGACGTATGATCGGATGTTGAAGCATTTGACGTTGTAGGCGTGGTAGAGGTAGTCGCGGAGGTCGTATTTGGAGAAGTCTAGCGGAACGAGGAAGCGGGCATGGTATGGGGAGAGATTGGGTGTGCGAAGAAACGCGACTGTGAATTTGGGGCTGGACCATGTCAGCCTTGAGCGTAAACGAGGCATCGCCGTGACCTACAGGTATATCTTCTTGCTGCCGAAGGCTATCAGCTTTTTTGTGATGGGCACGGCGTCCATGGTGGCGGGGCGAAGAGGTCCAGACTCTCCAATTGCCAGCGGTCGCAAAGATTCCTAGGTTCGATTAGGAGTACTATAGTGCGTTCGAAGAGTGCAAAGCGCGACGATGCGCTATATCGACTCGTAATGGCTTTCGCGATGCTCAGAAAATGGATCGGGAGTCGCTCCGCAAACGCCGATGCACGCCAAGCCTTTCTCAACTTCGGTAGCCTTGCCCACGACTTCTTCCATCGCTCCTGCTCTATACTGTTTTAGGAGTACTCTTTTGTCTATCGCTTTACTTGACCAAAGAACTTTCAAATCCAGATGAATGGATTGCGTGATCTTTCATGTGCTGCTTAGCCTACCTCGTCACTTATGTTTGCCAGCCAACAGCTCTGCGCGATACGATTTAACTACCTAAACATCAAGGGTCTATCTGCTTATTGTCGCTCGAAGCCTCTCTGTCGTGGATGCGCCGTCCTGGGCTGCATGCGTGGCTTTGGTGACGTGCTCAACCCCTTCTAGCAGTAGAGAGCTCCCCCTCCCTCATCGCAGGCCACTTTAGACGACAGTATTTCCAAGTAGTATACCTTCCTCCTCACCCATACTAAGAGGCTCCCTCTCGTCATATCGTAGATCTCTTCTGTCTCATATCCCTACTCGTTTCATGCTCAGCTTATACGACCTCTCTATTAGTACAATTGCTCTTCGTTTTTGCAATTGAAGCTTCCCACGTTATTGCACACAATTTCCTCAGTAGTCTCAACACAGAGTACAATTTCGAAATCTCTCTATCATCGTGTTGTATTCGGACTCTTTTTGCGGCAGAGAGAAAGTGCAGCGCAACAGCCTGGAGGCCTTCACTGGCACTCTGCGCCCAAAACATACTACAAAGCTCGCTGGTTATAGATCGACCATACTCACACACTTCTCTAACTTACAGAATGAGACGAGGTAGGCGCGCTTTGAGGCTGTATACGCATGCGCACTAGCGCCACCGCGCGTTTGCTCTTTCCAATTCCATTCAGTCACCTCGACCTAACTCCGCAGCAACGAACACCACAACACTGCCAATCCTCTCGCCCCGACGCCGCTACTTTGACACTGCTTCTATTTCTCCACACAACAAAGAAGCCGCAGCGATGGACGGACAGGACACTGGCACTTTGCCCAAGCCCAAGCCCAAGCCAAAAAGGTTCATTCCGGTGCCCCCGGAGTACCGTCGCCTCACTCATGCTACAGAACGCGAGCTCATCGTCAACAACATCAAAATCGACACAGGCTGCGATGTCATCCCCAAATGGGACGCTGGGTATATCACTCAGTTCGCCATTGCTGGACAAGGTGCAGGCCTTGAGAAAGCCGTCCGATACATTAACCACTGGATCTCTAACGCGCATATCAAGTCAAAAGACTCATCATCATGGGCGAAGACGCCTGCGTTCGATCATACCAAATGGTACTACGACAGCATTGAAGAGCGGGAGCGTCAGCGGAAGGACGAGTTCAAGGGCAAGGCGCCTGAGGTATCAAAAGGCGAGATGCCACTGGCGAGCATCATCGTGTGCTGGCCGGAGGACCTCCTCAACGAAGGCGTCACTCCTCGCGATGTCTTCAACAACAAGCTAGAAGCGCTTAACGCCATTCGGACTCAGAACGAGGTGTACATAACGCTTCTTCCTACGCAGAACGACGTTTGGAAGATTGAGATACAAGGCGAGTCCACATATATCTACTACATGCGATACACACTAACGTTTACAGCCCGCGACATAGCGCGCATTGAAGCGGCTGAAGCGCATCTCATGACGATGATCGACAAAGTCAAAGCTGATGCTATGGGACTGCAGCATGTAATCAACATGATTCTTGATGACAAAGAGGGCTTGGAGGTTGTGCTGGACGAGGCTGACGCATGGTGGCCGAACCTGTACGTGAATAGCAAGCGTGAACTGCAGACGAGTGCTGACCTCTTCCGCTCAACATCAGTCAAGACCGAGTCGTACCTCGCCTCCTCTCCAGTGGGATAATGGAAACCTCCGGCAGCTTCCGCGGTGAGATTATGCACTTCACGCAGCTATCAAGGATCCAGCATTCATTTCAGCTGGCGCTTGAAGCTGTGCGCCACACGAAAGGCGCGTACGATATGGCTATTCGCCTAGGGTGCCTGGCTTTGAGCTCAAGACATATCAAGGAGGATAAGATTGGTCAGAAGTACGGGAAGGAAGTCTTCTTGAAGTCGATTAACGGACCTGTTACACTTGAGATAAAGAAGTGGTAAGTGTATCCCCTCATAAGGACTAGGATGATGGCTAACAACATAGGCTTGCTGATGATGCACTGGGTTCGCAAATTCTGGGAGCACTCTGCATGGCCGATAAATTCCTGGAGCCGACAAAGTCTTCTGCCTACTTCGGTTATACGCCAAAATCGCTGCAAGGCACTCGTCCAATGTTCCGAGGAACATGGGTGTTCACAGACCCCAGCAGCGTTGTTGCTCCACCGCGTGAGCCGATAGCTGTGCGCCATGCTGGACGTCCTAAAGCGCCTCCCCAAGCTCCTGCTAGTACAACCACTCCATCCGCAGCGCCGCAGTCCGAACTCATCGTTGTTCAGGTCGACTGGACTGATGACGAAGAGGGCTTGTACGAGAAGACAACAACACGGTTCTACAAAATCGACCAGGGTCGTAAAACACCAAGGAAGAACATGGATATCAATCTGCTGGAGCTTGGAGAGAGCCGAGGATGGCACTTCGCTCTTGAGTCCTTGATTCCTGTGGCAGCGAAGAGCATCTCGCCTGTCATTACTGGCTTCGCTGATCGAGTCAAGATGAGACCCAACCACGATTATCGTTCCACCGAAAGCTTCGCTGAGTGGGATCAGACACCTACCGTCAAGAAGCACCTACGAAACGGTCGTCTGGAAACTATCTACTCTTTCGGCATCAAGCAGACCTGCTACAAAGTTGAGGCTACTTGTATGTGGTACCCAGGCCAGAGGCTTCCCGTCTGGGGTCTCTGTGTCCGCCACTCTGAATGGGCTACCCATCTTGCGGAACTTGAGCGTCTCCCTGTGGGTCGGAAGGCCGACTGGGGTCACACTGTGGCTACCTTCCTGCCAGATGACGGCCAGTCTTGCTACTCCAGCGCGGTCGAGGACGAGGACTTCGGAATGAGGAACCTCGATCTGGGCCCTGGCGTTGAAGCACCACCACGCGATGGTATCCGCATCCTCATGGACAAGCTGCTTCAGCTATCAGCCATCGTTAGCTCGATCACAAACAGTGGAGGTGTGGCTATCTGAAGGCTGGGAAAACCGAACACCCTGGAGGCTACATTGACGTTAGGTCATCTACTTTGCACGTTTTCATCTTGATGTAGGCTGCAGACCAGAGGACTTCATTCTCATATAGTGTGATGCCAATACCACAAGTACTTGGCTCCAGTCTTGGGCCATGAACTCTCGTAGCTCTTTTTACAGACCCGCTTGGTGCCCCAGCCGTGCTTCTACTCGTGATGCATGCGGCTTGTCTGGTACTGGCTTTCGATCCTCCAAGATGATATTTGTTCAGATCCTCGCAACTCTTCAGCTGCCTTGCTCTTCGCCCTTGCCTTCCTGTGCATTCATGACCTTGAGCCTAATGACCTCCTCCACGACTCTGACATTCTGCGCCTTGCCCTGCACAACACCCTCCAAGTCCTTCAAGCTGTCGCCCAGATCCTTAACCTTGCGCTCATAAAAGTCCTTTGCACTAGCAATATCCTTCTCCACAAAGAAACCCGTGCCTACATCCACTAGCACGTGCTCATGATCCGTGAGCTTGCCCGGTACGTATAACGAGGATGTCAAGGGGACGAGGAGTGGTTTCGAGACGGTGGCTGGTGTGAGGCCTGTCGAGATGGAGTTCAGGCAGTCGCGGAACTTGGATTGAGCGGTGCGCAGCGATTGGAACGAGTTGGAGAGGTGGGTGAGTTCGGCGTCGAGTTGGGTTTTTAGTTCCTGGAGGCGGGGGACAGGGAGAGATGTGATTTCGACTGCGTGGTTGTATTAGCACAATGCGCGACGATCTGAAATTAGGGTGCCATTACTTTGACCAGGCTGTGCGCCTTGAGCTTGAGCCATTTTGGTGACGCGTGGGCTGGTGCTGAGCTTCCTGGTGTTTGTGACGATGTAAACTTTACCAGGGGCAGGTTTTGGCGGGGCGGGTGCTTGCTGCTCGTGTGGGGTACGATAACGTGAGAGCGTGTCAAGCTCCCGAGCGAGCTGCATCCGTGCAATCCTTCACACCACAGTCCAAACCTCCATGCCGAAGCCGGCCCCTGCCGTTCCTCGCCATTGGAGCAGAAGGCCGGATGTACGACCAACAAAATATGTGCGCTTCCGGATCTTGACGAAGACGGAATACATGGACAAGAAGAAGCAGTTCAGCATACCTACATTCGACCCCGACCAGCCTGCGCTCTTCAAAGAAGCCTTCCTGGATATACCTGCGATCCGGAAGTGGTTTAGGAAGGATGCCTTCCTCGACGCACCTTTGACAAACAAGTGGAATAATAAGCCCAACACATTCAGATATCCTTCAGAGCTGAACACAGCGTATCTCGAGCAGTACAGCGATGCGATTGTGCCATTGGAGCTGACGCGCTCATCTCCCGAAAACACCCTCGGAAATGAAGCCTTTGAGCGCTTCGAAGCTCCTCTGGCTCTTCTACTACAACACATGAGTGCTGCGGAGGCGCAAGAAACGAGTTTGTACCTCGCGCAACACTCGCTAGCCGATCTTCCAGTGCCACTGCAAGAAGACCTACCCACGCCATCGACATTCCTATCCCACCTCAACGCCCGCGGCGATATCTACGCATCGAGTCTCTGGATGGGCAGACCACCTACGCGCACCCCGTTACATCGCGACCCGAACCCGAACCTCTTCGTACAACTGGCAGGCAAGAAGACAATCAGGATGATGGAGCCTGGGGTGGGTCGGATGGTGTTCGAGACGGTGAGGCAGCAGATACAGGGGCCTGGCGGGGATGCGAAGATGAGGGGAGAGGAGATGATGCAAGGTGCGGAGATGGAGGCTATGGAAACGGCGGTTTGGAATAAGGATGAAGATGGGGGTATGGCTAGTGCGACGGGCTGGGAAACGACTTTGAGGAGTGGAGATGCGCTGTATATCCCTAATGGATGGTGGCATGCTGTTAGGGGTATTGGAAGAGGCGCGAATGCTTCGGTGGGTATAGTATAGAACTTGGTGTGGGTATGTTTACTAACGGTTGTACAGGCCAACTGGTGGTTCCGCTGAATGAACTATCAACATATCGCACGCCTTTTGACTGTGAGGGGTTGACTCCCAGCGTTCAGCCGTCACGACTTGACTTCGACCCTTACAGTGGCCTCTGTCCCGTCAATCCATGTCCCAATCGACCGCGTCCCAGGAACGATTTCCACCTCCCTCATGACCCGCTCCATACCCATCTCCGCCTCGCTATCTTCAGAATCCCAGTCGTCATCTACGATGTCCGTCGCTGATTTCCGCACCGACATCCAATCGCCCGTCTCCCATACCAGTCTACACTTCATGGGCTTGATGCCGAAGTGCTTCCCAACAATACCGAGAACCGTGTACGCCGTGCCGCTCATGGGGATCTCCGTCTCGAATACGGTATCTGTGGATGTCGCAAGGTGGAACTTGATACGGAGTAACCGCGCAGCAAGCGAGTTGGGGTTTACAGCGTTGACAGAACGCTGAACATCCGGTTCGCCATACTCTTCACACAGCCACTCGTACCGCGGATGACTCTTCAATATCTGGTCTCGCAAGTTCTCGGGCGCGAACTGCACCTCCTTGGCGATCATGGAGAGATAGTACGACTCGGCGTTCAGTCGCTCTTTCTCATTGATGGGACTGTGGTTCAGCGTCTTCAGCTGCCCCAGTCGTGCAAGCGTAAGCATGTATCCATCATCCGCTGTCAAGTTCCGTCCATCCGGTGCTTGCAAGGACTGATACAGCGGGTTTTGCGATACACGCAGGCTCTGGAGACCGGGGAAGACGTGTATGAGATGTTCGATGAACGCCCATGTAGAGATTTCGTTGAACGAGAGGTCGACTTCTCGGACTGTAGTGGAGAAAACTGGTATCGATGCGCCGGAACTGGTTATCTCGGAGATTTTGTTCGATTTGAGGATGAGGCGGTGCAGGTTTGGGAGGGCTGTGAGACAGGCTAGTGAGGATAGAGAGGTGAGGTGATTGTCCTCGAGTGTTAGGTCGGTGATTGTTGGGTTGAGAGCGTGTTGGGTGAGGCTTGTGTAGAGGTTACTGGATGCGGAGAATGTGGTGACGGAAGGGAAGAAGTGGGTTAGAAGCGCGAGATCGGCCCAGGGGAGGAGGTTGTCTTCTAGTTTCAAAGAGGTTATGCCTTTGAAGGCGTCAAGACAGCGGGCTCGCTCTGGATCTGATACAGATGTATCGCGAAGACGTATACCACTGCGCTTCTATTAGTGTAGGCAAGAGAGAACTGAGTTTAAAGGGTACTTACTCAACCCTCAAACTCCTCAAACCAGGCAGCTGTTCACAGATCGCAGCTATTTCCCTCCACTCTTCAAAGAGATTCCTGCTCAGATCAAGTTCCATCGCTTTCGGACATGCCTCCTTTACATCATTCTTCTCTCCTCCTCTTAGCCACCCCTCCCCCCGTGCTTCAGGCCTCTGCATACAAAGCCCATCCAGAATGATAATCTTCAACTCCCCCAACTGCGCCAACTGCCTCCTAATCTTATCAAATCCAATCTCCTCCGCCGGCTTCCCATTGAACAACACCGGCTTCTGTCTCTGCTGCACAGGCGGCTGGTGATTAAACACAACATGAACATCTGGATCCTGGAAGTCTTCCTCTAGGGTTTCAGACGCGTACTTTGACTTTAGGGCTTGCACAAAGGTGCGTGGTTGGTCTGGTTTGCGGGTTGGGCGGATGAAGGATGCGGATGTTGGGGAGGGGTTCAGGCAGGTGAAGTATTGGGTGCCTTGGTGTGTGCCGGAGTGCTTTCCTCGTGTGGGCTCGTCCCATTCTACGCCGAGCCAGAGGCCGGTTGTGCCTTGGATGGGGCCGTGGTAGCGGATTGTGCAGAGGTGCGCGTCGTAGGAGAGGCGCTTTCCTATGTAGATGTCTGTTACCATGACTGGCGCAGTCGTCTGTTTCTCTTCTATTGTAAATTTGAGGCTATCTCGCAATCTCCCAGACTCAAGGTGGAAGTTTGTGGGGTGAATGTGTGAAGGCAGCCGCGCACGTGATATCGAAGTGCAGGGATCAGGTACCTGGACACTAGCGTCGCACGCCTCCAGAAGTTCTGTCGCGCAACATCACTTCAGCACGACAACTTCTACACCGCCCAACACCTGACCGTTGCCTACGTAAAAGCCATCCTCCTTCCTGTCTAATCGCGACCAAGATTGACACAGCAGACCGTGAAGTTTCGCTCAGATGGATTACCAGGTACGTCTCTCGTCGCGAAGGTCAAGAACAGCTACTAATGTCTACAGAATCGCGCAGGCTCCAAATTTGGAGGCGGTGGTGTCGCATCACAGTCCGCGACGAATGCCGACCGACGAGAGCGTCTCCGAAAGCTCGCGCTCGAGACCATCGACCTTGACAAGGACCCGTACTTCTTCAAGAACCACGTCGGCAGCTTCGAGTGCCGTCTCTGTTTGACAGTCCACCAGAACGATGGATCCTATCTCGCGCATACACAAGGAAGGAAGCATCAGACAAACCTGGCACGTCGTGCGGCCAAGGAGCAGAGAGAAGGCAAGAGAGACGACGTGGGCCAGCAAGGACTGCTCGCGGGTGTACTGCCCAAGAAGAACGTCATCAAGATCGGTCGGCCTGGATACCGCATCACAAAAGTACGCGACCCCAACACACGCCAAAACGGCTTGCTGTTCCAGTTCCAGTTTCCGGACCTCACCCCCGGCATCACTCCCAAGGTCCGTGTTATGAGCGCATACGAGCAGAAGGTGGAAGAGCCCGACCCAAACTACCAGTACCTCATCGTTGCTGGCGAGCCTTACGAGACGGTCGCGGTGAAGCTGCAATCTCGCGACATCGACAGACGGGAGGGCAAGTTCTGGTTCTGGTTCGACGAAGACGCCAAGGAATTCTGGTGCCAGATTCTCTTCAAGACTGAGCGTGACGAACGCTTCAGCGCAGTACCAGGTCTCGCGCCCGGACGGTAATGGCCTTCTCAAAGGCGGGGCGTTCAAGATCTTCACAATCTCGGGAATTTTACAATTATGGCGTTCTGGTAGCTTTCATCCGATCATCCGAGGGGGATTATGAGCATGTTTGAGGGGAGTTTAGGTCGGTGTAGGTAGTCCCGGCACACAATATTGGATAATGCAAATCTAACACGAATCAAGAAGTACATGCTGCCGATTGTCTAGTGCCAAGCTGCTCTTTCCGAGACAGAAATACCCGGCGTGCGGTTACATCGTGAAGCGCTGAACACGAAGTGCCAAGTTCCCACATCGCTCTCTATTGGCAATAATTGTGACTCACTCCAGGCAAGAACTCGCATCTTCAAGTGCAGATTGTGTTTGAGGATTGGCCGGGTTCAGCATGTAGAAGGTGCGCCTGCTCGATCTTGGATGCTCACATGGCAAGAAGGCTTCCGCCTTGCGTCTGCACCTTCCCTACAGGACCTCTGGGCCGAACGGCTTCAACAACATTTGATCCACCATGGCCTTCTCACCGTCTTTCTCGCTTCTGCACTTAATCGATCAGACCTCTCCGTTGGTTCGCCACTGCTTCAAATTCAAATTGCCGGCTGAGCTAAAGCCAGAACTTGCTTGCCGCTTGCGGGTATCTGGCCCTTCTGGTACTCGATCATGCTGTTTCAGTGATCAGCTATCATCAGGCCAAGAGCTACCCGGGACTAGACTGCTGCCGTTCATACATTGCAGTAGTGTGCAGGTGTTGGTATGCTCGCCTCCTCCTCGGTTCTATACTATCGAAGCATGTTTGATGGAGAATGACGTAGCTCCCTGAGAAGGCTACTAACGCGCTTATATGTGTGCTGCAGCTTGTCGCTTCGAGTAAGACTTGACGGAGCCGGTCTCGGAACGTCGA